GACAGTGAGGAGCTTTGGATCTGGCCCTGAAATATCTGCAAGCTTGCAGAAAGGGCCAACGTGATGATGAGAGCACTGGTGGGTGTGGGGAGGCTGAAGTCCAAATTCTGACATTGATGGGTGTCCCAGGGGCTCAGGCAGGTGGTAGCCAGTGGTGACGAGGTGCAGGGAGCGGCACTGCCATCCGTATGCCTCCTGCCAGGGATGAAACAAGGTGCTGACTGGGGCCCATGCTGGGACTTGATGGCTGAGTCAGGGCTCTGCAAGAACCTCTCCCTGTCTTTTCCTCCCACGGACCCACCTGTCCATTGCTCCATGATTGTCAGTCACAGTGTTGGGTGCTTCTTTCTGGAGAAGCCCACCTGAGCCACCCAGCTCTGCATACTCCAAAACATCATCAGGGGTGCAGGGACAAGCAGGTGGGAAACTGCAGAAGTTATTTGCACCACCCCCCCCCACCATCTTTTTTTGTGAAGGCAACTTTCAGCTTCTGTTGAAGCTGAAGAGGAGGCCATTCACCTTTAGATGCCGAAGCGGAGAAATACAAGCCTGACGTCACAGGGCTGTTCCGGGAAATGGGTGTACACACTGCCTCTGGCAGGGCAAAGGCTGCCACACCAGTCATGCTCCCGCTGCAGCCCAATGCAATGTCCCTATGAGGAAGTTTGCTGAGGTGAAGATGGTCTCTGCCCATGGGCCCACCTGAGGGGACAGTAGTGGCCAGTGTGGCGTAGGGTCTCATCCTAACAGTCCCTCTGGCTTCAGAGCCATGCTTTCTGAGCACAGAGGCTAAGGCACATGGAGGACAGGGAGGTGATTTGGAACAGCCAGCACAGCTTCACCAAAGGCCAGTCCTGCCTAACCAACCCAGTGGCCTTCTGTGATGGGGTGACTACAGCAGCAGGCAAGGGAAGGGCTACAGGCATCATTTACCTGCATTTCTGTAAGGCCTTTGGCACAGTCCACTCACAGCATCCTTCTCTCTGAAATGTAGAGATGGATTTGATAAGTATGCTGTTCAGTAGGTGAGGAATAAGTTGGGATGGTTATATCCAAAAAGGAGTGGTCAGTGGCTGAAGGTCCCAATAGAGATTGGCAAAAAGTGGTGTCCCTCAGGGACCACCTCCATACTGGGACCAGACTGTTTAATATCCCCTTTCCTCTGCCATGGCAGGTGGTTTCAAACCATATGACCTTAAATTTGAGCCACTGAGATTATCTCAGTTGGCTAGAGTACAGTGCTAATAACACCAAGGTGGTGTGTTTGTCCCATATGGGACCCTTCACTTAAGAGTTGCACTTCATGGTCCTTGTGGGTCTCTTCCAACTCAGAATATTCTGTAATATCTGCATCAGTGATATCAGATATACACAGTGGGATCAAGTGAAAACTCAAGTTTTCAAATGACACGCCTGAGGGACCTGGACAAGCTCAAGAAGTAGGCCCATGGGAACCTCATGAGGTTCAACAAAGACAAATGCAAGGTGCTGCACCTGGGTCAGGGCAACCCTAAGTATCAATAGGATGAAGGGATTGAGAGCAGCCCTGCAGAGGACTTGGTGGTGCTGGTGGGTGAGAGGCTGGCCATGAGCTGTCAGTGTGCACTCCCAGCCCAGAAAGCCAAAGGTGTTCTGGGCTGCATCCAGAGCAGCGTGGGCAGCAGGGCCAGGGAGGGGATTCTGCCCCTCTGCTCTGCTCAGACCCTACCTGCAGGGCTGCAGCAGCTCTGAAGTTTTCAGAACAGAAAAGTGTGGACCTGTTGTATTGTGTCCAGAGGAGGGCCACAGAAACAATCAGAGGAATGGAAGATCTCTCCTGTGAAGACAGGCTGGGAGAATTAAGGTTGTTCAGCCTGGAGAAGGGAAGGCTCCAAGACCTCTTTGCAGCCTTTTAGTAGTTAAAAGGGGCCTATAAGAAAGATGTTGATGAACTTTTTAGCAGGACCACTTACAATAGGACAAGGGCAATGTTTTTAAATTAAAGGAGGGTAGATTCAGACTTGATAGATAAAAGGATGACATTTTTTACAATGAGGGTGGTGAAACACTGGAACAGGCTGCTCAGAGAGATGGTACACACCCCACCACTAGAAAGATTCAGGGTTACAATGGATGGGACTGAGCAACTTGATCTAGATGAAGACCCTGCTCATTGCAAGGGTGTACTAGATGACCTCTCAAGGTCTTTTCCAACCCAAACTATTCTATGATTCTATGAAATAGATTTTTTTCAGCAGGATTATAATACAGCTTTGGCTCAGTAAGGGGAATACAGATAACAGTGGCAATAGAAAAATAATACTAGGCAGTTTGGAGCAGAGGTCTGCCTCATGTTGGCTGTGGCAAAGCTTTCCAGCACATTCTTGCAGAGTAATGGTGGGTGAGGCACTAGGCTGACACAACATACACCATGGAAAGGGTTGGGGAGCCAAAGTGACTCTAACCTGGCAGCAAAGAGCTCATGGCTGCAGCACCTGGCATAGGGGAGGCAGCTTGAATGTGCAAAAGGAGGATGGGTTCAGACCATCCCACAGCTGGTCTCATGTATTTTAGATCTTTGGAATGCAGGGCTGCTGGGATGGGCCCAGGTCAATAGAAAACCAGAGTCAAAGTTGCAATGGGGCTGAGCTGAGAGGAAGAGAGAAGGATGGTAGAGGGTGTGCAGTGGTGCTGGAGTCAAGGGCCATGATGCATAACAGGAATAAAGTCCAGCAGCCCGTACTGTGCACTTGTAGGCCATCAAGGCTCCTGCCTGCTTGAAAGGACAGCAACACAAGAAGGTGGGAGGGGATACAGGGAATTTGCAAGGGAGCTTTTCCAGAGGCTCTGATTAATTGTTGGCATCAAAACCAATTTAAGCAATCTCTGCCCTAGGCATAACAAAGGAGAAATCACAGGGTGGGGAACTGCAGCAGGGATGGGCAGAGACAACTGAGCCAGCTGCCATCAGAGAAAACTGGCTAAACTACCATGGGAGGATGGTGGTGCCAATACAGTACAAACTGGTCACCAGTAAGTCAGAGACTTGGAGGGCTGGGGAGACCCTCTCCCAGGCTGCAGGGCAGGAACAAGAGCAAGCACAGAGGACATCCAGGGATGGGCATGCTTTGCAGTTCAGAGCAGCCCCAACCAGTTTGGGAAGGCACAGGAAGTTGGAAACCAAGAAAAGCAGCTCGGCTTTTCCCTGCAGAAAGGGCTAGCTGTGACCCTACAAAACACAGCTGCCTCCTCTGCTGAGGCCACAATATGCAGCAGGGATATTTCAGAGGAGAGTGTTCATAATGAGGGCTGTACATAGAATGAGAACAAATATTTCAGCCAAACACATCAGTCACAGCTGGTCTTGCCTGCTGAGACAATCAATAGCTTAGTGCTAGTGAAGCCTTGGATCAGCTCCGGCTCTTTGATTTACAGCTGCCCTTGGTGCAGATTGGACAGGGACTGGCACATTTGTTCCCAACCCATCTGGCTGCCAGGACACCAGCAACAGGGCAGTGTTGCCAGACTGCACCTTACCAGGTCCTGCTACAATGCAGGAAATGTTCAGCCAACTGGGATTCATTTACAGCATGGCCACACACAGAGTTGTGCTGGCCTACAAAGGACCGCAGACAACCGATTTCTTCATTGAAACTTTGCCCACTTACCCACGATGAAAAGAAAAACAGTCATGGAACTGATGTTCTAGAAAAAACTAACTGCTGGACTAGAACTAACTGAAAACTTGTGAGGAGGAAAAGAAAAACCACAGAGAGCCTGGGGTTTTGCAGGCCTGGATTTTATCATAGACCAAGCAAAACTACCCCTCCTCCATTTGAGGAAAACTTACCTCCCTCAAAGTATTTCATAGGTTTATTGGCATTCAGCATAGGGCTATTTCAAATTGATAACCAAGGAGGTAAGACCCAATCAAGCATAATTGTTAACTGATCTCCATTCATATATGGTATGTGATCCACAGATGTCCCAAATGAAAGTCAAGTCTCAAGGTGTTCTATGAAACAGAGCCCTGGAAGAGGAGCAGCTGTATCTCCACACTCTGGAACCATCACTCTGCTTGTGGCCCTGGGCAGACTGTGGGTTGATACAGCAAGGTACAGTCTGAGCACCCACCTTCCTGACCCTAAAGGAACAGCTTCTTTAAAACTGCAGAGAGAATAAGATACACTAATATACTATAGTTGTGCATACCTTTTCCTCGAGCTTGCTGGTAGACACATCCAGAAGACTAGTAGTAATTTCTTTTCACAACAGTGATTAAAAAAGAAAATGTGCTGTGAAGGCAGGAAAGATCAGGAGTTTGCCAGTGTAAGAGAATAGATAAATGACAGGGCTCAGCTCAGGCCCTCATGCAGGGACAGAGCTGACTCTAGGTATTTTGCCTCTCCCATGGCTTGTCCCTGCTCCCTGTTAGGGTTTTACTAGTCACACATAAAACCACCAACCCACCCAAGCTCTCTTACAACATGAACACACAGAGCTGTGCCAGCACCTGTAAGAAGTGTGATACAACAGCATGAGCAAAACAGCACTCTGCAGTATCTGCTTCTAAGGATACCTGCTCTTTGTTCTGTACCTAGGAAGAGTAGCTCCATTATACAAAAACAGTGAGGTTAATCCATATGTGAAATGGATTACAACAAACAAACAAACCAACTCCCAAAACTTAGCTCTACCGAGGTCAGTGTATCCATGGTGGTAAGAAGTGGCCCAAAACAGGAAGCACACAAGACATTGCACCCACCTCTGACTTTCAGGTTCCCCTGCTTTCACAAGCACACCCCTCCCACAGCCACATACTGCCATGCACTCAAGAGTTACCTGTGTATCTCCATTAGAGTATGGACAACAGAGCTAGGGCATCAGTGCCCTGGATGGGAATGAGAGCTGTCTAGGAGTTATGTGCACTTTGGATGCAGACTCTCTACTTGAAAATGTTTTTCTAAGTTCCTACTTAAAATCTTGCCTAGCATTCACATATAGACTCTCACTTCACTAAGAACAGTTAAAGTGTTTGCCTTTTATTCAGAAGACTTGCTCCATTTCCAGTAATACTTTTCCATGTCCTTGAAACCAGACAGACTCTAGTCTCGTAACAGCACCATCAGTCTACTACAAAAAAAGCAAACAAATCAAAACCAAAAAAGTTCCATGATGTGATACAGTATAAAGAAACAAATACAGCTAATACATTGGAGAAATAAACATCTACATAAACTCAAGTAAGTTGCTATAAAACTGGCAGTATGCAATGAAGAGATTGGTAAGATTACCAGGTCTGCTAGATGTTTAAAAAAGCCTACACAGGCTGTAACTATATTCTTGTGCTGGTTTTAGGCATGAGTTTGCACTCAGAATCTAGCTACCTCAATTATCCACACTGGTGGGCTTTCATACAATTCCCCTACAGCCAGCAGCACGTATGCAAGCGCCTCCAGCTACCTGCCCACTCAAGCAGCACTTGCAAAGCTGTGAAGATGTATGTAGCCTATTACTGTCTCTTCTCTATGAATATGATATTACAGGGTTTGTCTGCATATGCCTGGTTAAGAAATAAAACAGAGTCAGTTGTGTACTATAACACCTTAAGTAACATATGGAATCTTAGATTTTAGAAAAATATTTTAATCATCAGTTCACAAGTAAAAACTATCGCTATTACAAAACATCTTGTAATACTACAATACCTAGCTTGGAAAGAGTTTTGTTCTTATTGCTGTTGCATTTAGTTTTCAGGGGCTGTGTCAGCATGAAGGTAGCAGTGGGCTTTCCCACTTGTCATAGTCAGCTTGTAAGGGTACTCATAGGAAAGTGCATCTTCCTATTTAATCCTCACACAAGTTTCACATGCTTAGGCTGGCTGCCCTGACTTTCCCAGACATGTACATACTCGACATCTGACACTATGCATCAAAATCTCACCCAACTTTGTTTCTTACAACAAATTTCATTTGCAGCCTTTAAATAAAACATTCACTCCAAAAAGAGTGAACATCAGCATTGACACCACCTTAGCTACTTGAAAACCCTATAACTGTATTCTGGCAGCTATCAGATATTAACTCATTCATTTCATTTTGTTTGGTTTCTTCCTTATTCTCATGGTTGGGTTGCTGTTTTGAATTTCCAGCTTTTTTAGACCTTCTGAGGAAAAACTTTGTCAGTAAGTAACACAATTCAGCCACATTTAAAAGAATGCAAATGCTGGACACGGCAATCATGAAAATGGTGAACACCGTCTTTTCAGTAGGTCGGGAAACAAAGCAGTCTACAGTGTTGGGGCAGGGCCAGGCATTACACTTCATTAAGCGAGGCATTCGGAACCCATCGTACATGAAATAAAACGCGTACATGAAGACGGCTTCGAAGATCAGTCTGAAAAAGATGCTGCTGGTGTACGTCCACCACAAGGAGCCCTCAATACGAAACCTCTGTTTCCTGATTTCCTCTATGTCCTTGAATTCACATTTCTGGTCTCCTTTTCTGAACTGCCTTTTCTTCTCATGCCTCCTGTAAGCCACATGCATGGCCACCAGCAGCGCAGGTGTGGAGACAAAGATCAGCTGCAGGGCCCAGAGTCTGATGTGAGAGATGGGGAAAAAGTGATCATAGCAAACATTTCTGCAGCCAGGCTGAAGCGTGTTGCAGACAAAGTCATCTTGCTCATCTCCCCAGACTCTCTCTGCAGCCACAACCAGGATCATGATACGGAAGATGAAGAGGACTGTGAGCCATATCTTCCCGATACTGGTGGAGTGCTTATTTACACCTCCCAAAATGGTATGCAGAGCTCCCCAATCCATTGTCTTGTTTCAATCCTCTGACCTAAGACAAGACAAGTAAACAAAACTAAGATTAATCAAGACAGGAAACAAATACCAGCAAGCATATCGTTTAAAACAAAGGCAATATCATAATTGTAGCATATTCACTGGATGTGGTAACATTTTGTTGACGCAGTGGGCTTACCTACAACTAGTCATAAATGATAACCTAATCACATATCAGCAGGTAATATTTCATACTGGATTACACACATGGCACCACATTCATTTGACTCCTAGGTGTATTTGCCAATGACACATTAAGTAAGGAAGACAGGTGGGAAAGTGATAAACACAGCCTTAAATGAAAAGATACAACTTCTAGTAGCTTGATAACAGTAACAAAATAATAGATGTCAATCAAAAGTAAGGTAGATATGTTAAAAAATAATGTGTTAAACTGACTTCCTATATAAATCAAGGCAAATTAGTTTATCCTTTTCTTTATAGTGTAATTAATGATTATTTGTACATAACAGTAAAGACAGACCTTGAGTTTAAAAAGTGTGACTGCATTCTTAGTCAAAGCAAACTCTACACTAGCTTGAAGCAAAGAAGGTAAAATTTTGGTCATTATCCATCTCGAGTTGGACATTTTAAATCAATGCTTAAGATTCATACCAAAATTGTTTTTCTTTACACTAACTACAGAAAGGGCCTAGGGTAACTGGATAAAGACTCCATTGTGAATACCTGTCAGGTTGGGCTTTTTCCACCCCTCACAGCACAGACTTCATTAGTCCTAGATTAGGGGAGACATTTCAGAGGCTGGCCGAATGCTATGGTCAACATTTGAAGAGTTCAGACAAGCCAGAAGTAGCTCAGAGACCTTTTCAACAGAATCATATAGTTTTCCAGCAGGTGAGTTTCAAAGTACTATGACTGTAACAAATTAAGGATTTCACTTTTTGGTCTCCTCCGGAACACCACAACTGTCTGGGTTTTCACAGCTTCCATGAACAGCTTTTCCACAGAGAGCATTCAGACGCATTTCAGCCCATCTCCCCACACCCTTCCACTTCAGATAGATTTACAAGTTAGTTTGCAAGCTAACTCTGTATGCAAGAAATTGGCATTTCTTGTGCCTATCAGCTAGGACCCTCTAAGAGTGCTCACAGATCTCCTGGCTCTGAAACTGCTCATGAAGGATTTTATTTCACAACTTTGTTAACTTGTTTGTATCTCAGAGCCCATATTTCTTTGGCATTTACAGCACAAGGCACCAATAAGCAAAATCGTTTTTTCAAAGTTGCTTTAAAGACCAGCTACTGGCAAAAAGGTTGTCATATCAATCACAAGATTTTCCTGACTGTGAGCTGGATCACACTGTGTGAGGAAGAAAATGACGACACTATTCTGTAGTTGTCTTCCACGTCACACTCCCATTCTGAGTAATGTCAAAAAGCTTCCTGGTTCACAGTGAGTTACATATAGTCAGTAGGCCACATTGACTGAGTATCAGTCAAAGTACACAACAGCCCAGAGAAAATGAGGACACTTAATTGTTACACAACACAATGGGGTCTTTTCCTTGAGTTACTGGGATTTAAATGTAATCTCCCTTCACTAGTTCCTTAAATTACATTTCCCTCAGATCCTGCTGGTTGACTGTGTGGGGTTATACTCCAGGAGGTGAAAATCGAGGGGGAGATCCAAGATCTCCTTCAGACTGGAAAGAACTTTTCCTGAGCCTCCTTCAGGATGCACAATCTGTACGGGCCATTTCCTCTGTATGTGACTGAAACCAGTCCTGAAACAGACTTACCTTGCTATCCTGCTAGGTTACTTTTTCTAAGAATAAAGAGTCTTTTTTCATTAGCATACAGTTACAGAGTCTCTGTAGGATAACAACCCTATGAGGACACAGGAAAGACCTTTAATACTAAACATATCAACTGGACTTTTAACTGTTTCCACCCCTTTTTCTGTTGTCTGATTGATGAAAATTCTTTCAGAATTTGCCCTGGCAATTATTGCTGTTTTAAACAGAGAGACAGTTACAACTTCTTAGCATTCTGTTACTATTATACACATATGGCAATTACACTACTTATAAAATGACAATACAACCAAGTATTACAACTAGAAATACTTATGAACATTTGAAAATGAATCCTGTAGAAGACTGGCACCATGCAAACTGTGATATTACACACACTATCCTGTAACTCTACCAGAGTCCTTACTTTCTTCCCAGTCATTCCATCTTCTCCCTGTCTGTCAACCATCTTCTTAGAGCAAAAAGACTGAAGTGAAACCTGTGTATCTGCTCCTCATAAACCCTGTTTCTTAGCTTCACATCTCATTGCACACCAGTAATGCTACCATTTTGTTATAGCTTAACATGGATTTGTTTCCTCCTCCCTGTGCAGAAGGAGATTCAAAATACAAGTTCACCAGTGTGTAGTTAGCTCAAGAAGCTCCCCTAGTCCTGTTTTCTCTTAAGGTTCTCCTACAGTTCATCTCCTGTGACTTCATGAAGGCACATTATAAAACAGGCGACTTGTCCGTAAATTCTTCCCAGGAGTAGTATGTTTTGGTTGGTTTGCTTTTCTAAAACCTGATCTATTTCATCCATCAGCTTATCAGCACAGACCCACAAATCATCTGAAAAGGACAGCTTCAGTAAAAAATAGCAAACAATGAAACCACCACTAAAAGAACCCCAGGTTGCAAATTGCAAAGCATGGGTAAGTATGAGCCGTCAGTAGGAAAGAGGGGTTGGAAAAGCTTTAATGCTGAATATAATAAACACTCCTCTTCATCTGACTTGCTCCATCTACTCTGGGAGTATATTTGCTAGTTAAGTCAAAAAACTGTGCTTCAGTTCTAGCAAAGACATAGCTGTATCTGGATCAAGAAAGAAGAAAAAGCCACCACACTTTGAAGAGGCAGTCTTTTGCCCAGAGTCTCTTGGTGACATCTCCTCTCCTTTCCAAAAAAGTCGTTCACATCTGCCCAAACATTCCTCCCTTCACCCTTCCCACATACCTTACCAAATCTTCCAGCTATCTTTTCAGCTCCTCCTGTCACTGCTCTTACCACTGCCTACTGAGCAAGTCACCAACCTTTGCTCCTTCTTGCTCACGGCCTCTCAGGCTTGTTTTGACATTCATAGAGAGTTATATAACTTCTGGTCTACTCCAAAGTGCTACAGGCACTGATAAGACACCACTGAAAGCTCACTATCTTCTCCCTGAAAGATGGCACTTCTAAGATTGTAGTGCTGTACCCAGGCAGCCTGAATGCCATCCAAATACTTTGGCCACAGTGTTTCCTACTAGCTGGCTTTATACAGTTCTCCTCAATGAGATTTAGAGGATCCAATGAAGGCAATTCAGACACTGCCAAAATGTCCACCACTCCCCAACACACACACAGACACAGTGATCCAAGCAGAATTTAAGGTAGCCAAGTATGGCCCTTCACAGTATTAAAGCCACCAGTTCAGATCACTCCAACTAAACACTCAGTCAGGGCTACCTGTACTGATATGATGGCTCATTTACTCTTTACTCACTCAAAAGCTAGAGCCTTGATCACACATTATCTTTCTTTCAAATACTTGCTTCCCTTTTCACTAGCAAGTAAAATATTAACTGTCTTGCTGACCAAAGGAGAAGAAAGCAGGAAAATCACACCCCTTTAATGGATTGGTGAGTCCTATTTATATAGAGCCAGTCCAGATACTATTTCTACATGAGCAAATCTTATACTATGTGAGCAAATCTTATACTATGTGAGCAAATCCTGCCAAATGCTTACAGAAATAATAGTATGTAGACAGCCAATGACTTCTCTAGTTTGCTGGTACATTTTTGCTGGAACATTACAAGAACACATTAAAGACATGAAAGCTTAGGTGAATTTTGAGGAAAAAATGTAAAGTAGCAATGAGGATAGGGATTGGCTATAAAGGAAGGAACTTGGGAGAACAGAAGACAGTTGAAGTTAGCAAGGTTGAGTAACTAGGCATTTAGAATAATTTCTTACAGGGGAGTGGATTAAATGTTAAATTCTCCTTCACAAAACTTGCAACTGGGCAAGAAAATAAGCTTTTCCAAGCCTCCACATAGATATCTGTCCTACTACCACCAGCACCTTCTGTTTCATTTCAACATTTACAGGACTACAGAGGGATATGGTTGTTACAGTTCACAGTTAAAAACAATCATAAAAGATCACCATGCTTGACTAAAAAGTTAAGTTACAAGGGAAAATTGATCATACAGTTCCGTATGATCACACAACATAGCCACATAAGCAGGTGTTTCAGTTTTTCCTTCTTGTTGGTTTGTGGGCTTTTTTCCACTAGTAAGCTAGACAGCAGCAAGAGAAGAACTACAGCTTAACTCCTTCTGTAGTTCTCCAGCTTATGAGCAGTATTTTGAGCTCTGTGCTGCCATGGCTAGACTGCCTTCTACTTTAAAGCTAGCTCCTGTAAGCCTACATTAAACCGCAATCACAGCACAGTGCATACGCCCAATGAAAATCCCTGCAATTCACAACACCAAGGACAATCATCACTGAGCTCCCCTGTTTATGAGTACAGCTGGCTTGTTAACAGACACCATTTTCCTTTGTTAAAGATTGTTATACTGGAAAATCATTACTCACTGGCTAAATCCACAGCTGGAATACAGTGAAGGTGTAAAAACAACAGAAGATACATCTCTATCACATACATATATGCTACTTGTGCTATAGTTTCAAATATTATATGATACTATATTATCAAACAAAAAAAAAGTAGCCATAACCAAGTATTACAATACCTGTTTATGCTGCAGGAACATCTAAGAGTCCCATTCAAGAAGAGGTCCACAGACCCCTAATTTATGCATAAATTCAGACCAACATTAAACCATTCTCACCTTCAATTTGGATACCAATTTATTTACTGTACTGGATTTACACAGAAATTTAGAGTGTGTTTGCAATGACTCCACTTCTATAAGAATTTTGGTGTACAGTGTACCAGGAGTTTGGTGTGACATTCCATCACTTTCAGCAGTGCCTCCGGATACTGATAAAAGATCAGCTGACTGCCAAGACAAAAGTCACTTTATCCCATGTGGGAAATGTGTTAACCAAGATAATCTTTAAGCAAAAAAGCACTGGTCTCAAGTGTCCCTCCCTGCCCTCCAAGTTGGGGACAAAGGTAGCTCACATACCCAAGAGTACCAGTTTTATGCAGAACTTTTGCCATAGAAAAGCTTCAGAACATCTAAACTAACAGATGCAAAATTATTACCAAAATTATTTTATGACACAACTTAGCACAGTAAGTACTGCTGCATGTTGAGGTCCAACATGCATTCAAATGTGCTGCTGAGACAACTTCCCCTTCAGGTGTTGATCTCAATAGCTGCACTGGAGCAGTGGCTCGCAGCGGGGGAGCCAATAACCAGCATCGAGCTGTCCTAGAGCTGCATAATGCCGTGTCATTACTCAGATCTGAGGAACACACTAGTCTGGGTTTCAGCAGTTTTGCATTAACATGCCTCCACCCTGCCAACCTGGCATCTAGTTTACAGCAAGCACTTAATTGCCAGTGTGTAGATTTTGTTTTTCCTATTGCTAAGTTAGTTTTGGTTCTGTACTACAAGAGCAGCAGCACTGCCAAGGCTGAAGCAAGGAAGCTTCTAATAAATACAGATTAACATCTTCCAAAAGACAGCATCCTTTTATTTCACCAAGAAAGGCTGGTACACAGGCTACAGCAAGCACTTGCTAATTTGCTCAGACTTCCTACCTAATTTGTCAGTCTGCCCCATGCCTCAGTTTCCCAGACATTACACTAGAGATAAAAAAAATCTCACCATCTCACAGGGCTATTCTCCTGAAATGCTCCACTGCAATTACAAGCTTCAGAGGCTCAATGGACCAAGACAGGTAAGTAGCAGCTCAAAGCTAGAAGCACAGAGCTTTAGTTCAATCATCCAGGATATTTCTGACATCTGAAAAAGAACACAGCTCCCTACATTGCTATAGCTTTAATACAGAGTTCAAAATGCAAGAAGACAAAGCTTTGAACTTAGGCCTTGGCAACTAAAATCCTTTAATGGGTAGCTTCCAGCTATTTTAAATTTACAGCAGCATATTAAAAGCTTAAAGGAGTATACAGCTGGATGACTCTGGAATACCATCAACTCCTTTCCTAAAAAGCTGAAAAAGATCAAAGGAGCAGCCTAACAACCACAAAAGTCTGTGTCTCTCTAGTAGCTCTCAAACTTTGTTCTGAACACCTATCTCCAGATCAGAGTGGAAACTAGAGAGGAGAAGAGTCATGACAGAGGGATTACAGTATATCTGATTTGACACAAGAGCAGGCAAAGACTAATCGGGAACAGGAAACCTCTGACAGTTGCAGGTCTGAACACTGCAAGCATTGTTCTTTCCTTCTACTCAAGTTTAGGAAAACAGGAGGCATTCTTTGCTCTAATTAAAAAAAAAAATTAAAATTAAAAAATAAAAAGCATGAAATCCAGAGAAACCCAACAGATTAGGACCCAATTTGTATGTAGTTAAATGTTACTTAAAAATTATGCTACTTAAACATGAAGACTATTTAAGGGTTCAGTTTTTGCCCACAACACCCTTATGACTGTCCCATATTCGTGCCCTCATGCAAGTTTTAAGTCATTTTCAAAGGATGCTTGGAAACATCCATACCTATTTCACCAACCTGCAAGTGTAACTGGAGATTACTATTCTTCAGAATGTTCTCTGCACAAAATTCATTCCACTCGTACAGAACAGGAAATCAGAGGTCACACTTGATGATATAACGAGATGGCACAAGTCCTATTAGAGTTTAGCCTGTCTCAGCCATTTTCCCCTGTAAACCTTCCCTTCAAAGTGTGCTTTACGCTTCTTTGGAAGAAAGTCAAATTCCCAAGGACCATGTCTCCACTGATACAAGTGTCCTATTTTCCATATCTTAAAGTTTTAGAGATATTGTGCCCCACATCTGACCATCAGAGTAACTTTTTAATGTTACTTTTTATTTTCTTTTTTTAAAGCCTGTTACCTAATTCCTATTTCCATCCTCCTACACCTAGGCAAATGTCTACAATCCTCTCTGCAAGTCTCTCCTTTCCTCTAAAATTAATAAGGCTGTTTTCTTTCACACACAGAACTCATACCCTTTTGGAAACACTAATTAAACTTATAAACACTATCGTCTTACACTGCACTGCAGCTTTTCCTTGAACATGTATTTTGTTATTTCATTTATCAAGAATAAAGTCAAAAGCAACTTTTTTTCTTTTTAAAACTGTTACAGGAAGAAATGCAGGTGCGAGATAAGGAATATAATTAGTTTCCACATTCTTTTATCAACTAATAGGAGATGGGCTTCTCTTTTTCCACATTCCTGTTGTTTTGACAGCACATTATATCACCTCATATATTATCACTTCAAGCTTTTCTTTACACAAACTGGTGTTTAGCCAGGCAAGAGTCACAGTTCTCCTTTCAGATACCTCATCAGTCATCATTAAGTAACAATTAAAATCAGCAAGAAACAGAACAAGGGGAAACATCAAAAGAAAAAAACAGCTTCAACCCACGCTCCTATTTCATGCAGTGTCTGGGACCACTGATTTAACTGGAACTGTTCACAGGAATCAACTTGCAAAAGCATCCTCTTTACTCACAAGTACCCACTGAGGTTTTGCAGCAACTGTTATGAGCTTGCACGTATAACTCTAAGCGCTGTTATTTTTCCAGCTACTAAGAAAGTCTGCTGTAAATTTTTCAATGCACAACTACTTTTTTTGCACAAAATAAATGAGGCTGCCCAAACAATCTACCTGGGCTGTGCATCAAGGGATGCAAAACAGCAAAACTGTCAGAGGCCCCAGAGGCCCAGCTTCAGCAAATTGAGAGAATTAGCCCTGTCAAGACAGAATCAATCTCTCTAGAGAAGCATGCTAATTCATGGGGTTTTACTGTTCCATTTTTAAGCTCTGAGATATGTAATCCTACCAATTATGAGACTGACAATTCTGGGGACCATCTGAAGTCTCCTTCATGTACATATGATACATGCAGAATAGATGTAATCTCATGGCTCTGGAAATGTGCTGAAAAGCCCACCTGGAAATTTACATTACAATGCCTAGTTGACACATGGAGGTACCGCCTTCTTCCAGGCTGAGGCTTGTCCCACCATTGCCTTGTTCTCTAATGCAGATCTAACCCAATCACAAAAACATCCTGTTGCCTACTGTCTCTTCTCTAGGGCTCTTCCAAGGATGTATCTGGCAAGTAGTTTCCAGGCTGAGACATGGAGGCCAAGAAACGTTAAAAATTACATAACCCCTCAACAAAATCATGGAAGAAAATATATTTTATTACGCTTTTGACTCAGTGTACACACGTATCCTGTGGTGATCTCAGACCAAATCCAGACCCAAACCCTCACCGTATTTTATACAGGACACAGCCATTAATCAGTAAAGTTATAAAACCTGGATATGTAAGAGCATGCTTATGACAAAAGGTGACTTCCTTCTTGCAACCCTCTGCCTGTTGTCTTGAGACTTTCCAGACTACATGGTGAAAACGAATAGGGTGCAAGAAAAAAAAAATCATTTCCTCTGCTGAGAAAGGGGGAGAGATTCTTCAACATGAGAGACGGCAAAAGAAACACCCAATCTAGGAAAACCTGATGACGGAAAAGCCGGTCATGCCCAGAACATGCCCGGCTACTAGCTAGTGCCAGGAACTAAGCAAGCACTCCTGCCCTTACTCCAGCATGTCCTTTGTGATTTATTTAAGGCCATAAGTACTCATTCTTTGTGCGATCTTATCCAGCCCCGATACTCAGAAATACATTTATTTCTGACTCACACCTCATTTCCTATTCTCCCTGTAATTCTAAGGAATGTTTCCAGCGTGTGATCAGACACTTACAGGACCTGTCAGTTTTACTGATGCAAGCTGTTTACCTTCCCGCAGCTCTCTTCACATCTGTAGGCGTGTCGCAAATTACCTGTAATTGCAGGAGCCTTGATTTTGCTTAGTGGCCGTACGTACTTCACATAACGCGCTTACAGAGAGCTGCTGGGAGACGAATAAAGATTTCGCTGTAAGTTAAACACGTAACCAACAGAGACACCAGCATTCCCAAACAAAACTGTTCGCAGGGTTGAGAGCACTCCCCGTGACGCTGAAGCCAGGGACGGGAAGCGGAGAGCGCCCATGACGAGCAGGGTAAATCCTGCCGGGGCAGGGTAAATCCTGCCGGGGCAGGGTGGGCAGCGCACAC